GTCGTCGCGCGAACAGACTGGAGGTCGAGCAGGGCCGCGGCGAGGACCGGGGGCTGGCGGAGCCCTGCCCGGCCCGCTGTCCTAACAGAATGTCATCGTTACGGAGCTCCCGTTCCACCAACCATCAGACACTGATCCCAGCGATTCCGCGTCTCCGCGTCTCCCTCCCTCGGGGGGCCTCTGGTGTGCGTCCCGCAGAGGTTCCACGTCTTGGGTTCGTGTCTGCACACCGGGCGTCGTTGTCAACCACGACCTGGTCGTCAGTGCGGGCGGATGCGCCCACGCCCGTCCCTCCGCCTCTGGGGTCCGCACTCTCGCCCCTCTTTTGTGCGCCATGGCGCCGCCTTGCCCGCGCGCGGTCCCCGGCGTTCCTGCGGAAACCAGGCATAACACGTGCATACGGTGCGAGCCACTTCGGCCATTCCCAACGCGGTGGAGAAGCGTGGCCCCACCGGTGTCACAACCGGGCGCAGAAGGGCGAGTTCGGAGCCGAGACAGTAATCTAACAGACGTGACATATGCTTTGGTTTTCTGGTTTTGTTTTTAATGAAAGCTCCCCACTTCAAAGTTAGTCAGGCTAGGCTGGGCTGGAGTGACAGCCTCCGTCGTCATCGGCCCTTTCACTCGTGAGCGGGCTGGTCGGAGAGTCCGGTGGCCCTGCTTCACGGCTGTACCTCACATGGCCGCCGAGGTCGCTGGCAATGAGAAAGATCAATGAGGCCTGCTAGCTGTTAATTGCCCTGGCCTCCAAGTGACATATACGTCACTTCTGCTTACAGCCCAGGGGCCAAAACTAGTCATATGGTCCCGATCTAACTTCAAGGGAGTCTGGGAAATGAGAGACGTAGGAGTATTCCGGGATCCACTAAGTCGTGATCCTTGCCGTTGAATTTAAGATACCATTATTTTATAAATCACCGAGATAAAGAAACTGCCATTAATTACACAGTGATGAGCAATGAAATTTTTTTAAAATTCTATTACGAAATGTTCAAAAAATAAATGAGCTGTTCCATGACCACGCATTACCTACGACCTAGAAAATACATCAATAATTAATACTTTGTTAATTAATGTCTTATGCCTTATCTCTATATCTGTCCTTTATCCATCCCTCAGTTCGTCTTATTTTTAGGTCAATTCCAAAGACAGTTGCGGACATGAATGCCCTCACCTCTAAATACTTAAGCATGTGTATCATTAATTTGTTTTTAGTCTTTTTTTTCTTTTGGGGGCATGGGGTAAAACATATATAGAGGAATACATGACTCTTAAATAGACACGACTGTGCCCTATAGCAAGATATGGGACATAAACATCACCCCGGAAAGTTCTTTTTATGCCTCTGTCGTCACTTTCCATATCCACATCCAGTATTCTGATCCTTTGCACCATAGATTACTCTGTTCTAGAACTTCATAAAAATTGAATTGTACAATATGTAGTCTTTTGTGTCTGGCTTCTTCACCCACAAAGTTTTTGAGATCCATTTTGTGGTGTATTTCATGAGTTCTTCCTTTCTTCCTGCTCTGTGCTCTGCTACATTGTGAACAGACCGCAACTCGTTTGGTCATTCTTCTGTTGATGGACATCTGGGCTCTTTCCAGTTTTTAGTTATGACAAAAAAAAAACAAAACAAAACAAAAAAACCCTGCTAAGAAGACCTGTACAAGAAAAACCCTGTACAAGACTCTGTGGAGGTACGTTTTTATTTCTCTTGGATAAGCACCTAGGAACTGAATTGCTGAGTCATAGCAATAGTCATAGAGATACATATTTAGCTTTTAAAAGAAGCCACCAGACTTTTTCTTAAAGGAACCATGCCTTTTTTTTTATTCCCACCAACAGCGGCGTATTTCTGTTTGCACCACACCTTTGGCACACATTTGGTGTTGCCAGTGTTCCTAATTTTAGCCAGTCTAGTGGGTAGGTACTGATATCTAATTGTGGTTTTCATCTGAATTTCTCTGATAATGATGTTGAGCATTTTTTCATGAGCTTATTGCATGCCATCAATTGTAAGATGTATCCTGATTTCAGGTGTTAAATTGTGGAAAAAAGTGCATCCAAAAATCGGTGACCTGTAGTAACCCCACAACACTCCTTTGTGCCTCCTTCGGTCACTCCCTGCTCATACCCACAGTCCAGGCACCTACTGACCTGCATTCTGTCTCTGCAATTTTGTGTTTTCTCAGAATTTCTATATAAATGGGTTGCACAAGTGGTAGGCTGAATAATCACTCTGAAGATGTCCACACCCTAATCCCCAGAACCTGTGTAGATGTCACCTTATGTGTGGTAAAAGGGACTTCGCACATATGATTAAATTAAAGATCTTGAGATAGGTCATCCTAGATTATCCCAGCGGGCCTACTGTAAGGGTCCTTTCAAGAGAGGCGGGAGGGTGAGTCTGAGAAGGCAATTTGGATGCAGAATCAGAGAGAAATTGGAAGATGCCACGCTGCTGGCTTTCAAGATGGAGGAAGGGATCATGAGCCAAGGAAGGCAGGCGCCTCCAGAAGCTGGAACAGGCAAGGAAACAGATTGTCCCCTGGGGCCTCCTCACACTTTGATTTCAGCCACAGAAGACTCATTACAGATTTCCGACTTCTAGAACTGTGAGATAATAGGTGTGTGTTGTTTTAAGCCACAAAGTTTGTGGCAATTTGTTACATCAACACTAGGAAACTAATACAATATGTAATCTTTTTCTGTCTGGTTTCTTACACCCAGCATAATATTGTTGAGGTGTATCCATGTTGCCTATATCAGTAGTTTGTTCCTTTTTTTATGAATAGTCTTCCATTGTCTAGGTATATGACAGTTTCTTTATCCATTCACCAACTGATAAACATTTGGATTGTTTCCAGTTTTTGCCTCTTACAAAAAATGCTGCTACATACATCTGTATGCAAGTCTTTGTGTGGATCCGTGTTTTAATTTCTCTTGGGTAAATACCTAAGAGTGAAAGTGTTGGGCTGTATGGTATAAGCTTATGTTCAACTTTTTAAGAAATTGTCAAGCCATTTTTCATTTTCACCAGCAGTGAGGAAGATTCCATTTTCTTCACAGCATCACCCACACATGGCTGTTGTCAGACTTTTTATTTATGGCCATCCAAGGGGTTGTGGTAGTATCTTATGTCGGTAAATTTAGCATTTCCCTGATGATTAATGGTGTTGAGCATCTTTCACATGCTCATATATAGTTCGTATTATCTTCTTTGGTGAAATGTTCATTTAAATCTTTGCTCATTTTTAAATTGGGTTGTTCATCTTATCACAGAGTTGTAAGAGTTTTTAAAAATTCGTTTTTTAGGATCAAGTCCTTTATCATTTATACGATTTGAAATTATTTTTTCCAGCTGTGGTTTGCCTTTTATTTTTCCTAACAGCATCTTTTGAAGAGTAAAAGTTTTTAATTTTGATGGAGTCTAATTTATCAATTTTTTTCTCTCATGTATTGATGTCGTATCTAAGAAATCTTTTCCTAACTCAAATGATTTCCCCTATGTTTCTTCTAGAAGTGTCTCAGCTCTCACATTTTGAATTAATCTTCTATATGGTGTGAAGTTAAGGGTTTAAATTATCTTTTTTTTTTTTTTTTTGCTTATAGATAACCAATTTTTCCAATATCATTAACTTAAAAAGAAATCAAGTCCCTATTTATTTTTGGCAATTAATCACGCTATGTTTAGCTTTCATTAGTTACAAAGACTTTTCCAATCATGTCACCTAGAGGTCACTTCACCCGCTGCTCTGCTTGGCTGCCAGTCTCTTGTCTCTCTCTTCAGCAATGGTGAGGCGGATCCCCCTGCCACGGGGAAGAGAAATCCATGGTTTGTTGCCTTTGCCAATAACAAAAACGTTGGAGAGCCGGGTGACAAAGCTGTTCTCATCGGCATCTTTCACATGAACCACATCAAAAGAGCCAGGATGTCTCTCTCTGTTGGTGATCACACTGATTCTTTCCAAGTTAGCACCTCGAGTCACCATACACAGATTACCAGTGTCAAACTTGATGAAATCAGTAATTTTGCCGGTCTCCAAATCAAATGATGTGATGAAATCAGTAATTTTGCCAGTCTCCAAATCAAATGATATCGATCTGAATGGTGCCGTTCACTTCGATGAGGGGGTCGGGGTAGCGAGCATCATGAGTCTCTAGATGAGGGATTCCTTTTGTACCCACAAAGATCTTTCTCACTTTGCACGATTTGAACTTGGCCTTCTCAGGTGTCATCCGATCAATAGCAAAGCGACCTTGGGTGTCATAGACCAGAAGGAAATTCTGTCTGGTCTTGTCAATGCTGATGACATCCATAAAGTCAGCAGAGTAGGTCACGTCAGTCCAGACCTCACCATCGATCTCAATAAACCGCTACACCCAGGTCTTTTTCACTTCATCTCCTGTTAGCGCATACTTCAGTCTGTTCCTTAAGAGCATGATGAGAGGGAGACACTTTCTCAGCTTGTGGGGACCGATAGGTGGACGCAGAGCAAACGCACCTGTCAGTTTATCCAGCATCCGATGCTTTGGCGCTGCTACGCACTTCAGATGCTTTTTGAGCCCACGAGCCATGGCTGTGCTGGACACGGAAAAAGCGAGATTGATTCCCTGTTGAACTGACTCAGCACCTTCACAAAAAAATCAGTTGATCGTGTTTGTGAGTTTATTTCCTCCATTCTGTCCCATCGACCTGTATACCTGTCCTTATGCCAACTCCATGCGGTCTTGATTGCTCAGCCTCTACAATACGTTTCAAAATCAAGTAGTGTGAGTCCTCCGACTTGGTTCTTTTTCAAAATTGTTTTGGCTATCTTGGCTCTTCGCATTTCTATATAAATTTTAGTATTAGCTTGTCCATTTCTACTGAAACAAAACAGGATCGCCTGCTGAAATACTCCCAAGTATTGCGCTGAACCTATATGATCAGTTTGGGGAGAACCTCCATCTTAACAATATTGAGTCTTCTAGTTCATGAACGTGGCGTGCCTCTCCATTTATTTAGGTCTTCTCTAATTTTTCTCAGCAATTATTTTCGTAGTCTTTATTGCATGGGAATTGCAAGACTACCCCCGGGTTTGATGATTTGTTAGGAGGGCTCATAGGAGGAGGCATGTAGTCATTCTTATGGCTACAGTTTGTTTCAGTAAAAGGTTACAAAGTAAAGTCAACAAAGGAGAAAAGCTCATGGGGCAAAGTCTGGGGAGACCGGGCACCAGCTCTCACAGGGGCTGCTCTGCATGGGATCACGTGGGAGGCGCTTAATTGTCCCAGAAAGTTGTGACTGAGTGTGAAATGTTGCTGGCCAGGGAAGTTCATTGCAGACTCAGCACCCAGATTTTTATCAGAACTTTGTATTTCTTTCCTAAGGCTGCTGTAACA